TTTTTACCTTGTCGGGGGCTTTTCTTAAAACCTTTTGAATAACCTTTTGACCATTTGTTTTTCCTAGGGGTGAACTTTCTTTTACTATAGAATTCATTATCATCTTTGAAGGAATCTCTCCTATGGGAAAAATGGCGACTTTTACTAAAGCGTCTATCATGGCTTCTTTTGACTTGTCTAGACGGCGGGACCGGTGCTAGACCATACTGTTCACAGAAATTACCTAACTCATACTTAGCATTTTTCCTATCGGCTTGGATTGATTTTCCTATTTTTAAATCTACACACATTTTCATACCAACTTGATTGATCGTACTAATTATATTACCGTAAGTTAACTCATCATAATTAATTTGTCCTGATTCATTGCTTAAGACTGTTCTAATCTTATGGGCAAATAAATTGGGGAGACCATTTATGAACTTTTCTTTCCAAAAGGCTTGATTACTATCATCTCTAAGCATGACTCTGGAAATGAAAACATCTTTATACCATCTAAAATCACTTAGCTTAGGGCATCGTAAATTACTTAACTGATCATGAATTCTGGCTGTTGTAATACTGGGCGTTCCTATGAAATGCTCAATTATTGTATATAAAAGGACATTGACTCCGTCTTCTATGCTTGTTCCTATTCTTTCATCTAAAATAGGGTAATTATTTTCATCTGTTTTAAAGGCATGAATTATCGTAAGCTTGGCAGCTTCCGTGAGATGTTTATCCCACCAGAAACGAAGTGTTCCTGTAAAACCTGTTTCTAAAAGGGAAACTATTTCTGACTGTCTTAACTGGTGATTAGTGGCATAACTATTGGCTACCATAGACATATGCTGTAATTTATTAAGTATCTCCTGTTCAGACAAGCCATCGATATTCCATTCGTATAGCTTATCAGAAGACACTGAGAACTGACTCTGGGTTCTTTCTTCAAACTGGACATCTGGGGGAGTAGGCTTAGGGTGCCAATTTTTGGTAAGGCTTGTGGGGTTGACTTTTCCTGTTAACCTGCTAACTTTAAGACTTTGAGAATCCTGCTAAAAGCTTGCTCAATCTTAGAAATATTACTGGTTTCTGAATCTAAACTTTGGTTTGATTCTTCAGACATGAATGACTCACTATCAGAATTAATATCAAAACTTAAGACTTTAACTGAGGCTTCTTCTTCCTTTCCTTTGTCTTTTTCTTTATCAGGCTTTGGTTTAACTTAGGTTAATTCTTGAAACATTTCTTCTATTTTACGCATTGTTGGACTGACTTTTAGGGCAGACTCTGGTTTTAACTCAAAGTGAACTAAAGGCTTTTCTTTTCTAGGCTTAAGAGTAACTTCCTGTGGGATTAACTTATCGACTTTTGTTTCTATCTTATCTAGTTGCTTTCCTATTACTATTAGGCTTGTGTTGGCAAAATTGTTTTGTTCTATGACCTTTTTTACTGGCTCATCTTTTGACTCAGCTACTTTGTAAGGGCTTGCAACAACTTTGGTATTCCTATGATTAATTACTATTGTTTCAACTGGGGGGTGCGTACTGACAACTTTTGGTGGCATCGGCTTTTTCCCATTTTTCCTGGGTTAAAGTAACTAACTTTTGACCTAGATATTTGGCTTCTACATAATCTAGATAAGGTGACTCGGACCTAGTGGCTTTGAGATATTCTTTCCACTCATTGAAAATTTCTTTTCTTTGAGCTTGGGGGAAAGAATCATGATACTTGGCTTTTCTTTCGGCATTTTCAGGGGCTTGGAAATGGGCATCTAATTTTGACCAATGAATTTTAAATGGTTTATTAAGAACTCTTAATTGGGCATCACAATTGTAAACTTCAAAAGTAGAATCTTGCATATCTAACTTAGTAGGTGACTCTGGTTGCATTGGCTCAAGGGGTGCCATAGGGGTTCTATTGTAGCTTGGTTGAACTACTTGCTTGGCCTTTCTTAATTCATTAATTTTGAAATCCATCAAGGCTTTATCAGCTTCTAAATCTCGTTCTGTTATTGAAGACGACTCTGCCGACGAATGTCTTGCTGGAAACTTAAAAGATTGACTAGGCGTAGGTAATTGTTCTAATTGGACTGTTGACTTTATTGGTCTATCAAAACTAATTTTTACCGTACCATCTAAATATGGTTGAATATAGTCTAAATCATTTAAACTACGTTGAATTGGCTTAGGGGGGCATTCAGTGGTTAAAAACCATTCTTTAGGTAAATTGACATCTGACCACCTAATCATTTTAGGGACAATAATATTAGCATTAGATGTATGACTCTGAATTAAAAGCGTTTGATTTTTTGGGCTTTTACTTAAGGCCTGAAAATTAATGTTGGTGCCTGTCACCTTGTAATAAATTTTATAAATTAAAGCTAAAGGTTGGGTACCTGGCAAAACATTATAACCGTGCGTCTTAATGGTTAAAGTTAAAACTTTCAAAATATGTGGATCACTAAGGCTTACAGTAAAATCTGGATAGCAATCAAAATGGACTGGACCATGGCATAGACTTGACTCAATGATTCCTAAAACTCCTTCTTCGAAATCTTTAAATCTAGCATCTCTTAAGCTTAATAATATTGCAGATTTAAGACCTAGTTTAGTTAAGGGCTTAACAACGACTTGAACTAAACCTATATGCAGAAAATTATTACCTTCTTGCCTATGTTTTTTAATAGCGTCAAGGTTAAGTAATTGGCATGTTTCATGTTCTTTTCCTAGGGCATAGACTTGTACTATTGTCTTAATATGCGTAGTTTGCCTAAATGCATTAATTGACCATTTTTGCCTATAAATTTCTTTATTAGGGACTTTAGGTATATTCCAATCATTACAGTGTAATTCTGAACTAGACGACTCAAATTCTAAAACTTCTTCATTAATTATATCTGGAACTGGGTCCAAACTGGTTCTAGAACTAGAAGAATTAATTGAATTGGTTCTAAATAAACGACTCATTTTGCTTACGTGAAAAGATTGCGGCTCGGGTGACTTTGTGTTTCTCGAGGTCTGCTAGGACGTGTCACTCCGGTGGCACGAGGATGGAATTGACGGAAACTAGTGGAATTGACGGATTAATAAATGGGTACACCTAAGTGGTAGATTTAAGTTGATTTTGATTCTTTCAAGGAATTAATGTTTGATCAAGTGTGTGATTGATTATATATATATATATATTAATCCGTCAGAGCCCAGTTAAACCAAATAAACTTACATTCAACTCTTACGGCTCTGATACCAGAAGGGAACTAGAACCTATAATCTAGAAGAACTAGATTAAAAAGGATTTTTAACTAGTTATAAGTGGAAGGCTTGACTTTTGTTGGCTTATGTATTTAACGGCTTGAAGACTTGGAAGAGGAAAGAGACTAGTTAACTACGGAAGAGGATAAAGAGTATGACTAAGTAATTGACTTGGAAGATGACTTGAGCAACTAAAAAATAAAAAACAGAGAAATAATGAATAAAATAAATTATTGAATAAACATAAATTGAAATTAAAAGATTAATCATAAGTTTAAAAGAAAATGGACGTATGAGAATAAATTGTATAAATAAAAAACT